TCTTTTTTTTAAAAAAAAAAATGTATTTTATGTACGAAATATTAAAATTTATGTAAAAATTATCTTAGAATTTTTCTAAGCAAACTTTTCCTTTTCGTTCCTTTTTTTTTAAAGCGAAATTATAATTGTTTTAATTCTCTAAATTTATCTCACTGATTTGCCTATAGTACAGTTGATAAGAAATTGATAACTCCTCTAGCCTACTTTATATGTCCCGAAAATAAGAAAGCTGAGTATCGGAGTGTTGATGCAGCTTTGAAAAGTTTGAAGCATTTGAAATAAACTGTGCCATAAATCACAAACTTTTTCTTGGTCTTCTCGCCTACATCTGGTGATATATTATCGCCTGTTGGTAATTGCCCATAATGGTCATCCAATCTAAAGTCTGATTTATCTCTGTCCCATTTGCGCGGTTTTAATAATTTTTTTCTCGCCAAACGAGTTTCCTTTCGTGAAAAAATCCAGGATCTGTGTCAAGGAAGTTGAAATTACAATGTAACGTTTCAGATTTGAGTAAGGTTCCGCTTGGCGTGCCAGCGGTGCCATTATAACAGGACCTCATAATTTTATAATTACACCTTGTCCCAACTGGAAACAACAATATTGAAGCGACGACATGTGCCAAGCATAAGCGTCAACACTGAAAAAATTGTATTGTTTAAAAGGTGACGTCCAGACACGGAACCTGTAATTTTGGCGCTTTGTCGACGAGTTCATTTGACGAAATCGTGACAGGTCCAGCGATTAATTTTTTATTGGTGTTGCGGAGACAGTGTTGCCAGCTCAAAACAATAAATTCACCAAATCTGAGCAAAAAAGTTACACCTATTTTCACCAGGTTACAAGATTTTAAGATTTTTTTTTTAATACTGTCGAAGATTCATGTTTTTTTATATAAACCTCGCAAATCTGCTCAAAAAAATGTTTGAAAAATGCAAAAATAGGGAACACTATTTTATTCAGTCTAATTCTATAATTTTTTTGGTAGTTTTTAATTAAATTTTGTGATATACCGGGTGACAAAAAATCTGTTGACAACACTGAAGTAGTGGTAATCTTAAATTTGTTATTTCAGAATGTTTCAAATGACGGCTAAATCAACAGTCGCCCGTCGCAATGAATGACAATTGCCTATAAAAGTTTGACGTTTTCAGTCAAGATTGCCAAATTAAATTTTCAATTTGACACCAAATCATTTACAGTCGCCCGATTTTTAAGTTTTTACTTGAAAAACATTCTAAAACACTTGATAAAAGCAAATATAATGACTTAATTTGATGTTTTTTTGGTTTGTTTTAGCAAAATTTTGCAATTAACACCTTTGTCGACCATATTTTGTACTTTTCGTCTTATTTTTTTAACAAAATTTCACTCAAACTGAGCTCAATCGAATGAAACAAACAAAATAATATTAATTTAGATTTATTTTTGTTGTGTTTAAGAATGTTTTGACATTATCCTGCAAACTAAATAAGTCTTTGGTTCAAAAACGAACAAAATCGAATGAGACACGCACACAAAATGATATGAATTTCATTCTAATTTGGTAATTTTTCAATCAGTTGTATTTTAAAAACGTGCTGAAATAATCTAAAAATGCAAAAAAAACACACTAGTTTTATTCTAATTTGATAAATTTTCGGTTTATTTTAAACGAAATTTTGCAAAGTAGTTTTGTTTCTGGCTAAAAACGTATTAAAACGGTTAGAAATGGACAAAGTAGTGTACCTTTTGACCTATTTCCGCGATTTTTTCCCTTGTTGAGTAAAATATCATTTAGAAAAATAAAACTATTTCTCGATTTTTCAACTTGTTTTTGAGAAAATTTATTACTTGAGTTTCTGCATGGCCAAGAAAACGTACAAAATGTTCTAAAAATTCTAAAAAAAATAGTGTCATCATTAAAATAATAATAACAATAATAATAATAATAAGTAATAAAAGTGGCTTTATTAAATTGTACGTACAAGTAATACAACTCGGAGGCGAATAATTAAAAAAAAAAACAAATTAAAAAATATAATTTTATTAACACTTGAGCGAATTCTCAATTTATTTATAAAAATTATGTTAAACACTTGATAAAGGCAAAAATAATGACTTAATTTGTTGTTTTTTTGGTTTGTTTTAGCAGAATCTTGCAATAACACCATTTTCAACCATATTTTGCATTTGTCCTCCTATTTTTTGGGCAAAATTTCACTACAAAAAGAACTAAATCGAATTAAACAAACGAAATAACATCAATTTAAATTTATTTTTGTTGTGTTTAAACATGTTTTGGCAATATCCTGCAAAATAAATAAGCCTCTGGTTAAAAAACGAACAAAATCGAGTGAGACACGCTAAATTTTCAATCTAATTTGGTAATTTTCAGTTTTAGGAAAGATTTGAATGTATTTTAAAAACGTGCTGAAACACTCTAAAAAACACTAGTTTTGGCCAAATTTGATAAATTTTCTGTTTGCTTTTAACGAAATTCTACAAAATAGTTTTGTTTCTGACTAAAAACGTACTTAAATGCTTAGAAATAGAGAAAGTAATGTACCTTTTGACCCATTTTTCCTCCTATTTTTTGGGTAAAATTTTACTACAAAATGAGCTAAATCGAATGAAACAAACGAAATAACATCAATTTAGATTAATTTTTATTTTGTTTAAGCATGTTTTTACAATATCCTGCAAAATAAATAAGTTTTTGGTTCAAAAACGAACAAAATCGAGTGAGACACGCTAAATTTTCAATCAAAGTTGGTAATTTTTCAATCAGTTTTAGCAAAGATTTGAATGTATTTTTAAAAACGTGCTGAAATACTCTAAAAGTGAAAAAAAAACACTAGTCTTGACCTAATTTGATAAATTTTGGGTTTGCTTTAAACGAAATTTTGCAAAATCTTCTAGATTTTTCAACTTGTTTTTGATAAACTTTGAGTTCCTAGTTCCTGCATGGCTAAGAAAACGTGCAAAATGCTCAAAGAAATACAAAAAAATAGTGTCATCATTTTTGACTAATGAATTTACTCTATCAATAATTAAAAAATCAGGTGTGAACATCACACAACTTTCCTTATCCAACTTATTTGGAAAATATCCTTACGACAATACCTAATTTAGTGTTGGAAATCCGAGTCGCAAACCTAACGTTGTTCATTTTATTACATTTTACTGTTTAATAAGGTATATTTCATTATTCTAAATAATTTTTATCCCCATGAATTTATTTATTGTATCTTCAATTCAAAGTATAATTTTGATTTTTGGTTTTTGCGGCCGAACGGTGCGACCGATTTTTACCAATTGTTTCGTGCTGCGTCCCCTTCCTACAAGTAACTTACATACCAAATTTCAAGTTTCTAGCTGCTATCGTTCTTGAGATATGCTTTAGATAATTTTACTAACACTTGAGCGAATTCTCAAATTATTTATAAAAATTATGTTAAAACACATTAATTTTCTGCTGGAACTAGTCACGTTTCTAAATAATCATCGGGAATTAGAATTTTTACTGAAGTTTAGGATTAGAAACTCGGCGCTAATTAAAGAAATTTGTCGAAAATCACAGCCACACGCCAAAAGAAAAATCGGAAAATGTCGTTCACACTTGTGGTCAATGATCATTTAATTAAGCCGGTTGAGGAATAAATTGAGCTATGACCACCGCCCGGAAAAATTTATATCGACACTTAAAAATTCTGTAACATTAAACCGTGTTATTTATGATATTGACATTTCTAGTAATAAAATTTCGCGATGTTGGACTGGTTTAAATT